TGTCGTGCAAATCACTGAAATTACTCTCTAGAAGAGCCGGCTACTCGCGCGTTATCATTGGCGACGGGCATTTAACTTTAAACTTGTACTTTATACTTTATTTCAAGTAAAATTTGATTACGAAATAAAAAATAAATCCCATGGAATTGAAGACTACTCGATGACAGGTCTCGAAAAGGAGGACATTAAAAGTCTACATCATGATATACGATATGATATACTAAGTACCTATTTGAACCAATTTTCAATCAATTACAAATTTTCTTTCTATTAGATGTAAAAATGTTTTAAAATTATTTGCGATTACGTAATTTTTAAATATAATTAATATTATTTTGATTTTTCTTACTCAATGAGAAATCACAGCGTGAAAAGAGATCTATTATATTAAACGTGTAGGACGACACAACCACCAGATGCATGGATGTGGCACAGTTTTACTTTTCTCTAAATAAAAAACTATACGATAAAATAAAAGATGGAACATTATGAGATTTTTATTCGTGTCTTGATGAAGTGATTTTTGAAAGCGAATGCCTAAAATAGGACTTTGATAAAAGTAAGTGAGAATCGTTTGAACAGTATAATTTTTGTTTTATTCTATAGTATATTAAATTAATTCAAGATAAAATGAGCGAGGTGATCACATGTCGATGTTATTTAAACTTTGACATGTTTTATTTAAAATAAAAGTTCATTTAAAACTTCTAATAATCGTCTCTGATTCAAGTCTAATTTTAAGACAAAAATTATTAATCGACTAAATTTTCGATATTTACAGACGTGCTTCAAACATATTTATACGTTAATTCGACGTCTTTTCAATCAATTATTTATCACTGGGTAAAATCCCTTTTCGAGAACTCTCTCTAATTATTAAATAATAAGAATCTTATTGAACCGTACACGTGAAAACTCAACAGGAAATAGAAAATAAAGACTCATAACGATTTCATTGAATTATTTAAGCATTAAAGCATCCAGCTTCGACCGTTATAGAGATCCTTTATTTCCTATTGATTGAATTTTCTCTAATTATTCTCAGACATATCAAGTCCTTGATCTCATTAACAAAGTCGAAAGGGGATCTGAAGGGATGTACTCTTATGCTATATTAGTCAATAGCAATTAAGTAGCTACGTACCCATGTCAATTTGGTTCGGACTAACTATCAGGTAATTCCATCATGTTCATGATGTCGTCTCGAAATTATGAAGCCTCTACGAGGCTGCATCCTTGTATACCATTGAGCAGCACACCGTAGCCACGATCGACTCCCGCTGTCTTTCCTCCCGTGCCAAGTATCAAGTAACTTCGTTATATTCGCGATATCGACACCTCGATACGTCATGCTACCGGAATTACAGTCCGACGATTCGTGCAAGCCTCGTCACCAAGCGATCCACTCCTAATTAGCGACATGCCCGGAATTGTTTGATTCAATGCTAATGTCATCCGATAGGAAAAAAAAATATTACAGTTTTATATTTCGTTTTTCATATCGCTAAACCGATAAAAATTCCACGAGCGCTGCGATAATCGACTGCGCTGCTTCTTGGGGAGTGTCCTCGTATAGTCGCGTAACCACGAAATTAGGATCTGGAGAACCTCTATCCGTGTCTATTATCAACGGCAACCGGTAACTAAGCGCGATGGTTAATGCTCCGTCCGTTTGTGTGGTGCGATGGCGGCGAGTATCGAGTAATTTCATTACCGCCGTGCACGACGTCGACACCTCGACGCGTTCCGCGCGGATTAACGGACCCTGGTGGTGAAGGGACCGCGCCGTGATTCCCTGTCGTCCGCTGTCGGCGTTGACTAGCGATGCCGGCCAGTCACAGTGGCGCGATAGATAGACCGCGACAATAGTATCGGGCCAACAGTGGGCGTCTATCTCTTGTCGCATCGCTAGCACCGTCGTTAGTCTCTCGGCACGCTCGCGTCCTTAATCTGATCCGCGTGCCCCGCAGGGGGCAGCGGCTGCGGGGAGAGGAAACAAACGACTCGGTATTCACGCGCCTCGTATACGTCGATCTGGGTCATCTGCGCATTGACCGGTCCATCTCGCTCTTATAGTATCGTTTCGTTCATTCCCGTGTTTATGAGCTGCGCGCGGCTTATATAAAAACGGAAGTCCAGGATCGGTTGCGAACGCGGGGCACACGTTTGCGTGCCTAGTCGCGATGGCGCACCCGGATGTGTCAGGGGGCCGGCTGCTCTGCGGAAGAGACAGGGCAGAGGGGATGTATCTGGGACGGCGAGAGGGTGAGATAGAATGGCGCGCGAATAGACGCGGTTCTGATTACTTCGGAGGGTCCCGTGTTGCCACGGCGGATTTACGCGCGATACTATAGGGCTCAAGGGCTTCATGCTTCGGGAATAAAGGCAAGAAGAAAAAAATCCTGCTGTCCGGAGAAAGAAACGTGTCAGTGCATAATTTTTTTTCTTTCTTCTCTTCTTTCCTCTGCGCGTCCGGGGCAGAGTTACGAGGCGATGTTTCGAGATGTCTGGCTGCGCCTCAAATTAATTGACGCTCAGAATGAGAGAAATATGAGAAAATATGCGAATCGATTCGATTTTCGTTAAATTACAATCAAAAACGCAATTAAATTTGCAGATATATTGTAATAGAAGTTATAATTAAAAACGGACTAGCAATTATTATTATTACGATAATTTATATTATGAATGTTTTATCGTTACAATGGTAGCTCTAATTAATTGCATTTCGCGCCGCCCCGCGCGTGTTTCGACATTTAAGAACATTCTCAGGCGGATCAATATTTTGACAGATCAATAATGGGGTCTCGGAAAAATGGCGGCGCGCCGCGGGCCCCGCGTACTATAAATCCGTCACAGGTTCCCAGTTGTATACCTGACGTTCGCAAACACAACATTGCTTTTCATGCAGCCGCATATATATATATATATATATGTATTTTTTTTTGTTTTTTGCTCGCGGAAGCGAAAAATGCGCTATTGATGCACCAGTGAAAGTCGTATTTTCCTGCAAGAAGCTTTGATTTTTTGATATTAGGAATTCTCATTACGTATCCCTCGTATTTTACTTGTCGGCGACGCCACGTACGCACGCACACACCGCGATATCTCGACCTTCCTCTACGATTACATCCCTGCCGCTCTCATTCGGTTTACTACGCCTTCAGGTGCAACCTGACGCCGTACATGCTAGATGGAATTCGATATAAGCGTCGCTTGAACACGGAATCATTTAACATGAGGAGGAGGTAACTGAAACATTTCCATCTCTTATTTCTCAAAGACCTAATCCTTTTACTTCTTGCTGTAAGGGAAAAAAGAAAATTCGTCTGCCAGTCGCGCTGCATGAGACATGAGACCCTCGACCTGTCTATAACGTATTGTCTTTGATGATACATCACTGTATGATGCACTTCGTACGAGGCAATCTCGGATGCTCGCAGACAAGATTTAGCATGTATCCATATACACACACACGTATATATTTATTTCTCCCCCCCTCCCCTCTCTCTCTCTCTCTCTCTCTGACGCGCGTATTTGATTTCATACCGCATAACTTGAAGTTTCGAAGAAAAACGTTCCACATAACTCGGCGCACTTATATCGAATTCGCCCGAATGTAGACCGCATTACGTCACCATAGAAAGAGTTTAACCGAAGTTTAAGAGGTATCGAGGAAAGGCGGGGGTGGGGGACAGAGGGAGAAGGTTAACTTTTCGGGCCCCACATCCGCGCGTTACTGAAGTCGGAACGATACAAGGAGCCTATCGCTTGAACCAGATCGATATATCCCATCCGTTTCCCACGGCTAGAGGAATGCTTAAGTTTAAGTGCGGATGTGCTTTTACTCACTCCGCGTGGAGAGGCTTAGACTTAATAGAATACGGATACTTTCAGTCAAGTCATTCGATATCGTATCATAAGATACCGGAGGGTGTTTTCCTTCGAAAATATCATGGCTTGTGACAAACGAAGAGGAAACAATATCGTGAATAGGTGAACTCTAATGCAAAATGATTGTGTAATATTATATCTCATATTTTATAAAACTATAATTATATTTTATAATACACAATAGTATTTTTTAAATATATAATTTTGTACATAATATGTACTAATAATATGCATATATGTTACATATTAAAACAAAGGCGAATTAAATCACTTAATTAAAAACAATAACGTATTTATAATTAATATTTAAGTATTAAGTAACGTATTAATTAATATTTAATAAACACCAAGTTTGAATAATTGTTTCATAAATTTTAACGACAAATATATGTATATGTTGTACATATTATTTTATATATATAATACATACAATACTTGTCGTTAAAATGTGTTGAAAGAAAATTAAAACTTGACATATATTTTAATATCGTTATCGAGTTTAATTAATATATCATTTCATTGCAAAAAAAAATAAAACGAAAAATATAATACGTCCGATGTGAATTCGCAAAAAATTCTTATCGGGATCCCGCGTTAGTAGTCTTGCGTAGACGGTGCGTAGAGTGCGACTTTCGTACAGACGCTCGCAGAAATCTCTCTCGCTTTCTTCTTCTCTCCCCAACCTCCTCTCTCTCTCTCTCTCTCTCTCTCTCTCTCTCTTACTCTCTCGGATTCGTTCGGGCTAGTTCGTGCCGGGATACCCCTATTTCGGTCTCGTGCTGCTCCAACATCGGGTACTCTCGGGCGCGCGTGCGAACGACTGAGAGAGATAGTGAAGAGGGGGGAAGCCAAGCGAATGAGAGGGGGTTAGGTTAGCGGTGCTGCCACCGGCTGTGCGCGTGAGGGTGGGAGACGGCGCCCCATGCTCTAAAGCTCGTAGGCCGCGCCACCGCCACTACTCCGCACACGCGATCATCGTGGGGTACGCTCTCTATTTCTCTCTCTCTCTCTCTCTCTGTCTCTCTCCCTCTCTCTCTTTCTCTCTCTATCTCTCCCCGAATGCCTCCTCGCCGCCGCTGCCACCCGCTATTTCCGCGCGACGCGTGTTCGCCGCACGATCGGGACCCGCGTGTGCCCCGTGAGTGACTCCTCGTGAAAGGGTTGATGAGTGCGCGGTGCCTCCAGTCGGCGAGGAATTGGTTTGGTGTTATAATTAAACGTTAAAGAAAAAGAAAAAAAAAAAGAAACGAGGGATAATATATTCAAAACGTACTGTCGACGACTATACTCGTACGACGTATATTTTGTGACACGCGCAAACGCGTGAACGATCGTTGACAAGTGGATTTTCAACGTGAAAACATCTGGTCGTGCGTGTGAATGCGATTTGAGAGAAACCGGAGTGTACAGTGCACCATCGTGAGGAAAGCGATTCAACCGGTCACGCGCAACGATCTTGGCGCGTGCAGTCAGAGCCACGCGCGCGTTTTGCGCCAACTCCGATTCACTCTTCTCACCCGAGAGTTGAACGACTGCAGTCGGAGGCGGTAAAAAGTCGAGCCGAGTCATCATGGATTGGATCGGTCTGACCAGCTTGTTATTGTTCTGCCTCGGACGGATCGGGGGTAAGTTGTTGTGTTTGTTTTTGCGTCGCTTGGACCGGCGGCGGCAGCGGCGCGGGCGCCTCGTGCGCTGAATCAGGGGCTTTGTGAGGCCGTTGCCGCGCCGCGCCGCGCCGCGCCGCGTGCTGCTCGATCGATTCGATTAATCGCCGACGATCCGCGTCGGGAATGCGCGGCGTTTCGGACATCCGCTGGGGCCTGGCCGTCGTCGCGCCGCGACGCGCTGTTTTGCTTTTGTTCGCAGCGCGACGTCGATGGCCTATTTGCGGCCCGCTATTATGAACGGGTGCAACGGCTGACGATAACGCGCACGTCGAGCCCGCTATCTAAAGGTAGCAATCGCAAATTGCTCCACAACAGGAGTCAACACACTTATCATCCTGGCCGTTCCTCGATATACTACAACTGCATATGTCTCCCACGATAAATTCGTCGCGATGGCCACTTTACGCCACTAGTGCGTAAGTTTCCCTCGTTATATCCTTCAACTCTAAAGGTGTTTCCTCGTTTAACTTTCGTAATTTTTGACTTCAACTTGAATATCACGTCTATACTCCCACCTAAATTCTCGTCATCCCCGGCACTAGCGCGGAGTTTTTCGGCGCCTATGCTATTTTCTCGCTTCTCTGTTCTTGAAATTGGGAAAGTTATGAAATAGGAGAGATATAGTTTGGAAAGGCCGGCCTGCGTTCGAGGATATTACTGATTCTTGCCGCACTAGCCGTTTGAAAGTAGTCATACATTTATTCTGCCACGACGGGAATGACAGTCTATTGGTAATAACTAAAGTGCTGACTTTCTGAATTTTTAAGCAGTCCCCCGTGTGACTTATGCATTCGAGTCTGCAAAGTGTAACTTTTGAATACTTAAGCATTGGAAATGGTTTAAGAAACGATAAAGTACTTTTGGATATCCGTAAGAACACCTAAAGGTACTATAATGCTGATCTGATCTTTGTTTAAAAAACAAATCGCGAGATATAAAATTGACGGCAAGTTGGAGCGTGGCAAATTTCGTAGACGTTCTCGCATACTGAATTTTAAATGATCACTTAAAAAACTGTTTGGAACTTATACTCTATTTGTTCGACACAGTCAGCTGGACAATTGAGATCTGTTAAAATTTCATCGAGATTAAAATGGAGACAATTTGCGAGTTTGCGACATCTCGTTTCTTCTCGTAATCCTTAAGCGGTCATCCTCGTGCACAGAGTATGTCATACTCGAATAAAAGCTGCATAAAATACTGATAACATCCGAGTGCTCCTCCTCCGTATAACCCTCTTAGTGAATTTTTTTAGATGTAAAATATTAACAGTGTTTTCACGCTATTTTGTCGCAACAGCGAAATTAACGTATTCCTTTTTAATGTCACGTTTGGTGCAGTCTTTTGCATATAGGATATGCCACGCGATTTATTATGTATTTTTTCTAATATTTTAAACACACACTTTTGTAGTATAATATGTTTTTTATTTATTATGCCACAGAGAGATGTATATGAATAAAGTAGCATTGGACACAGATCGTTTTATTTTTTAACTTAAATAATCGACTTAAAATTTGAAATATACAGAGTGTTCGGTAAGTTTTAACAAAGCGCTCATAAGCAGATGTTTTTTAGTTATCCAGTGAGCAAAATGTCTAAAATCGAAACCGTTTTAAGATGCATTTAAAAGTTCTTTAAAAACGTTTTTAAGATATTTCATAAAAAAAACTCTGAAAGAAATCTTAAAGTTGTATTATGCGTCGATTTTATCCGCTCATTCAACAATCATTAGAAATTATTAATTAAAAAAAAATTAATATCTCATTATTGCAAAAATTGCAAAATGGTAAAAGACTTTTTGACTCAGTTTAGTCCACTCTATCTACATACGGAGCGCTTTGCCAAAACTTACTGGACATGTTGTATATAATTATGATTAACATAATTAATTAATGAAATTATCTGTGAAATAATTTTCTACGATTAATCGATGAAGTTTCTTCTACGGTAAAGTAATTGATTAAAAATTAATAGTATTAGTCACATCAATCGTGTTTAAGTTTTAAACATATCAATAATTTTTAATCATACCTATAAAATTATACTTCTAATTTTTATGAATTATTACTAAAGAATGTTTATCACAGCGAAATAAATATTCAAATCGATAGTGGTCAATGAACGATTTTGTTTCTATGTAAACTGTAGAGATTGTGCATATATTGATCGTTATAAGTTTGATCTATGCTATGTAATCAAAAACTAATAATTAATAAATAACGATTAAAATAAATAATGAAAAGGCTCTATATGTATAAAACAATATAAATATAAGAAGGGCAAAGAGCCAAGTAAATCTATCGATCAACGTCTGTCAATTTGTAATTTTTAAAGATCTATTAAAGCGTTTTATTAAATTTTAAATAATTGAATATTGTTCGATAGATTTACTTGGCTCTTTGCCCTTCTTATATTTGTATTGTTAAATAACGATTAATTTTTTAATTAGTAGTAGTTAATAATTTTTATTTATCGATTGAATTAATCATAATTGCAAACAACGATATACAGAATATTTCACAATCACCGTAAAACACTTTTATAGCGTATCCTAGAAGTAAAGTAGAGTAAAAAATCCTAATACGAAAGTGGCTGCAGTAAGTTTTGAATTATAACTCTGATCAAAGATAGTTATTCAAAAACTATTATAGCCTCGGCATTTTCGTATTAGGATTTTTGTCTTCGAATATTCCAAAGAATTTAAAAATAATAGTAGAAATTATAAAAGTAAAATAGTCTTTACTTACAAACAGTTAAAGCTTATTATTTAAAAAAATTATAGCAGCCTCAATATTTTCGTATTAGAATTTTCACTCGACTTTATCTGTAGAATATGTTGTGAAAGTATTATGTGATGAGTAAGTACAGGATTTAAGACACCCTGTATTTTAATCGATTATTGATTGAAAATGTAATTGAAACTAACACATAAGATTTATTTTCAAGGCAATTGAAAAATTTTATAATCACTTATTATAATCAAAAACTAAACTTTTAGTTGTAATTATCGATCAACAAGATTTACTTTTTGTAATTGTTGCAAATCTGTATATATAGTGAATGTGAAATATTCTATAATAAATCTTTTTTTTATAAAAAAAAGGTACAAAAATTTATAATAAAATTAGATGATTGTATTGTTATCAGCTATATAAGTTGATTAACAATTAATATCAAACGTACCTGATTTTTTTAATTGCCGCTAATGTTCCTATAAAACAATACGTAGGCTATTATACAATATTTTTGATATTCTTCGCATTATATAAAGAAATAATTAAAAGATCTAATTATATTTACAGGATTAAAAATAAATTATTACAGAATTTTAATTTTATCTTCTTCAAATATAATATGTCATTCAAAAAACACGATTAAGATCCATATGATGCCTATGATCATCAAAAATGGTTAAAACAATTAAATTCGTGACATTACTGTGGTAGAATGTTTGCGTTAAAGCTAAAAAATTTCGGCGCGCGATTATGGGGGGGGGGGGGTAGGGGACCCTCAAGTAAGGGATCAGACACGACCGCCATTAGAGGGATACCGAAAGTACGTTAGTTAATGCGCGAGAGTACTCAAATGCATTGTTATTAAGACCTGTATTAAACAAGCTAGAATAAAAGGATAAATTCTGCGCAACATACGTGAAACGGAACATAGTTAAAAACTTTGTGAACTGTCTTTACGTTAATATGTGATAAATATGATAATTCTATCATTATATACTATATTATGATAGCTATATATAATATTATATCTACTTACATTACATAAGGCAAAATACTTTTTAGGTGTCCAACCGACACGACCAGAAGCATGATAGGTTATCCATTTTTCTCTTCTTGTGGGAGATTTCGGGATATGGCGCATTATATGGCCATTTCCACTTGAATTTTTGCAATTTAGAACTTCAGAGTATCGCATTTCGCAATGATTTAAAAAATATATACACTGTATTGTCGAACCGTACATACGTATAATATCTACATCTTAAAACAAACAATACTGAGCAACTAAATCAGCAATTACTAACCTAACCAACGGAAGTATCCCACTAATGGCGGCAGCCAATCCGCATCTTTCACGATGTTGTCTGATTACTTGAGGGTCCCTAGGGGGGACTACATACGCAGTATATAGAATCACACACAATTATAACAAGCACTATGATCCAGCTGGATCCAGCTTTGACCATTATGGCTATCTTCTTCTTGTTTATTTGTGTTTATCACTTGTTATGGTCTTACAAAGATTTTAATATTTGTACAATATTTTTGTCTATATTATTCACTTCTGATGTATGTTACCAAATGTTGCCTACATTAAAAGTAATAATGTATAAAACATTGATGAGATACGATTTAGGCGGCCAGTACGCAACTCTCCCCTAATATATTCGAATGAAGAAAGAAAATTTTGATTAAAAATTAAAATTAAAGGGTTAATATAAAGCAGGACCTTAGAAAATAAATCAAACAGAAACAAGAGCTCTAATCATAACATGTAAATACAGTGCTATTCCCTGAGAGCACAGAATGTATCGCGCGTGCGACCACTTGTGTGTGGTGACAACTGTTCGGACGATCACTTAAGGATTAGTACGAGCACGTATACATATAGAATATGCAAACTTTACGAGAGACAACAATCGGAATTGGAAGAATATTTGGTTTACGGATGTAAAATGCGTGAAAAAATAGACCACATCGCCGGCCTAGGCAGTGGATGAAAAGTATATTGTCGTTTTTTGCTCCCTTTCCCTCCACAATTCTATATATATATGGAAGCCGCCGCAGCCTCCAGCGTTTTTTCAGTGCGCTCTTCAATTGCAGCATACGAGATATGCATTTCCGCGAGAACTCGCGCTCATCTATATATCTACTCTCAATCCCCACTCTTGGCTGCATCCTCACGCTACTCCGCGCTCCCACGCCACTCATTCCGAAACT